CCCCAAATCCCACCCCCTACCCCCAAATATAATCCACTCTGCAACCCTCATTGCATACTCCTACGATAAAAATAATGCCCTAAAACATAATACTTTTAGACTGTTCTCTGCCCCATAGACTTCAATGCCGTAAACATATTTCATCCAGTGAAGGCTAGATTTAAAGACAAGACTTCTATATCTTTTCTATTTTTAATTAGCAATAAGCTATTTTTTTATCTATTCATTTTTTCAAAAATATTATTGTTGTAGTTGTGTACTGTAGAGTCAGAACCAACCCATAGCAGACCCTCCAGTGGGTTTTCAGAGGCAGTTAATTGCACAGGAGGAGATTGCCCCTTATTCTCTCACGGAGTAGCTAGTGGTCTTTTACCTTATTACCTTAATAAATATTTTCAAAACTGATCATCAAGAAAAACCAAATAGTTGCTCACTTTCTAAATAAAAATTTGCTTTGCAGAAAATGATGGTTGAAGCCCTCTGAGTGTTTCACGAATTAGAAGCCATTTAAGCGTACATTTTTTAAAAGAACTGTTCAAGTTTAGCCCTTTATGTCTAGATTATATGAGTTAAAATATTGAGTAATATTTAAATGAAAACTTTTTGATGAGTATAGTTATAAAAATGTCCTTCAATCATAAGTTAATATGGTATTGAATTATATTTACCTTATAATTAATAAAGATAGAACATATTTACTGAGTTAAATTATCTGTCAGAGAGTGTACTAGGTCATTTATGAGTATAACTTATTTAAGCCTTTCCACAGTATCTTAAGATGATTTAATGTTATTATCCTCAACTTGCAAATAAGGAAATAAAGGCACTGAGAAATAAAAATAAACTGCTTAAATCACACAAGTGGCTATTTATACCTAGACTGTCCATCCAATTTCCTAAGACATTGCTCTTAACAATTATGCTATAATGTATGTAATTAATAATAATTAGTTCTTTGTCATCTCTTAGGAAAATGAACTATATCTCTGAAGCTCATTTTAAGTTTGTATTGGAAGAGAGTGAATACTGTTGATTAATAATATTTTAGATAGTATATTAAATTTTGGTTACTTTAAATACTAATTTGAAATTACATTAAAGGTTTATATATGTGTGTATTTGGCATAAACGCAGATTATATACCTGGATTTCACCTGATGGTATGCATAGGAATCAGATTGATTACATATGTGGAAAGAACTGCTGGAGAAGCTCAATATCAGCTGTGAAAACTAGTCCAGGAGCTGATTGTGGAACAGACCACCAATGACTCATATGCAAATTCAAGCTAAAGCTGAGGAAAATTAAAC